CCACAAGTGCAATGGACCGGCTAACAACTTTGACATGATTTATATTTAAATTCTACACATATAAAGAGACTTTATGTCATTACATCATGAGATAAAGCCCTAAATTCCTCAAATTAGTTAAAGTGTCTTCTTTAAAGCTAATCAAAAAACTTTCTCTAAGTGAATTTAATTAGTGTGGCTTATCTCATCATGATTTCCCAAATAATAATATTTTAGCATTTGGAGTTTCGATTTTTCATCTCTCCACCTTTTGTTTTATGTAAACGTTAAAAGATTTATTGGACTATGACATAAAAATATAATGTAATAATTTGTGATAGCATTGGTAGTATGATATCACCTATATTTAAGTTCATATAATGTGCGTTGCTCACACAAAAAAAAAAAAATCAAAGTAAAAAGGATAAGAAAAACACAATTCCGTTAAGCTTAAATCGTACAAGTATGTATGTTGAAAGTTATGATACCAAATGATCATTTTTTTTTTCTCTGGCCGATCAATAACTCCCCTACGAAAACCACTAACCATTTTAGTTGAGGTGTGAGATCACATATATAAACTTTAAAAAATGTAAGTTGAAAAGATCGATACGTGATTGTCGAAAGAATTCATTAACGATTTTATCAAATAACGAACACGACCTGATTAATATATCACTGTGTTACGCTATTCAAGTTAATATCAGGTATAGTTATTGGGAATTATACAATTTGATTTACTTTTTTTTTGCTAAACAAACAATTTGATTTACTTTACCGTTCAATTGTAAGGTGATTGATAGCTTATATGTTTTGTGGAGCCAATAATCCAGTAGTTGACAAAGCTTGTTAATGTTTTTCTATATTAGATTTGTGATGATTTTTAAGGGGAATTCATAGAGACTAGTTTATAGAAAATCTCCAACATAATGCATATAGAGTAGTTCATGGTGTGGTTCATTATGGTAACAATAAAATAGTCTATTATGAATGTGGTACAATACTAATTGTGGTATGAATAAAATTGTTCGTTGTGAAATCGCCTGTAAAACAATTCATCGTCTTTCCAGTAATGGAAAAAATTAGATCATCATTTGTATAACAATTTAAAAATATCTTCTTAACTATATATCAGATGATTAAAAAAATGAATGATGACAACAGATGTTATGACGACACTCGTTAACGGAAAACTAACTCCGTTATTGATTTTGTGGGATCCGTATTATAAAACTTCACATAGTAAATTCAAAATTTTAAATAGTTTATGTAGGTTTTGACATTGTTGAATAGGCCATGTATAGAATAACAAGACATACTTAGTCCATGGGGGAATTGACCGTTTTCTCGATGTTGCCTACCGTGATTCAAAATGTATTGTTTGTATTTAATCTTTTAGTAAGTGACAAGAATTTTGCAGTAGAAAAAAACAATAAAGATTTTACCGTTTAAAACAAATACTAGTGATGCAGCAATTCAAACCGCCAGTTTTGTACTACCACTGTTATGATATTGATTGGCTAGTAATATATTAATATCTTTTATTTAAGGGTCAATTTGTGTAATAACCAAAAGAAAATTTATAATTGGCAATCTAACCAAAAATCCTAGATTTAATTGCTATGATTTTGCAACATAAGAGGCTTTTGGTTATATTGCCAATTATAATTATTTGTTTGGTTATTCATGCAAAATTCTCTTTATTTAAAATGTTTATGAATAAATAATCTAAAACTATAATTGTATGTCAATACTACTAATTTTAAATATGATTTATTGTAGCAACATCTCTTACCAAATAAAATTAAGATTTTTCTATAATTTCTTATAGTAGCATCATATCCCCTGTTCAAAAATGCGGCCACTGCGGCCATTTAATCGCCGAAAAGATGTTTGGCGGCCTCCGGTCGCCGCGATTTTGACATATGCGGTTTAAAAAATCGGAAATCTACAATTTGCTCAGTTTTTGTTGATTTTAAGTTTGAAATCGACGGTTGGGCTATAGATTAGCCACATCCGGTAAAAAATCACCAAGAAAACCAACAAAACTCGACCACAATGGTGAAAAAATTGAACGGCGGCGAGATTTAGGTTTAGAGATATCGTTTGTCAAAGGAAGAAGACGAAGATATAATTATTTTTTTGCATGTCATTTAATGAAAAACGATTTTTTTAAAAAAAAAGGCTTTTTGGGACTCGAACCCAGGTTATTAATGGTTTGGAAACATAACAAACCACTGGACTAACTGATATCTATTGTACATTAAGCCATATCTTATGTATTTAACCTATATAAGTTTAAAATTGTAA